AAAGCTAAGAGTAGGCTTCTCAATATTTGATATCAAATATTGAGAATAGCTCATAATTTCTTCAAATAAACTAAATGATGGAAGGATGCTCATTTTGGAATAATTGGGAAAGCTAAGAGTAGGCTTCTCAATATTTGATATCAAATAGTACAAATTCTAACTTCTTGAACTCATCAAACAATCACAAGTTGAATTCTAAAATTAGTCTCAAACTGGCCTAAGTCTGACTGAAAATGGGCTTATAATAGCAATAGGCACATGTGAAATCTGATAGAAATTCCGTTATTTGGGATTGAACAATGGGTAATTGGCGCAAAACGTCCCTACCTATGCATGGTTGTGTGCAAAACGTCCCTACCTTTCGTTTTTTGGTGCAGGACGTCCCTACCTTTCACATTTTTTGTGCAAAACGTCATTTTTGTCTCTTTTTGACCATTTTACCCTTTTACTAAAATAAAACAAATTAAGAACCCACCAAACTATAGCCCAAACTTTTTAAAAAATGCAAATAACCCACCAAATTTCACATTCTTCCCAAAACTCATCATTGCCCCAATTAATAACAATTCTTGCCAACACTCACCCAAATTAAGAACAATTCTAGACACCCAAATTCTAGGCACCCATACAAAAGAATAATTAAGAACACTTTAATTTTATTTTATTTTATTTTATTCAGCTGCATCGTCACTGTGGAAATCTCCACTACAACAAATCAAAATTCTCCATACGAGGACACAGGTCAAATCCAAGCGCCTGATTGCCTGCAAATCAATGAAGAATCATTTGAATGAAATCAAATTTAATTGGTTTGATGTTTTTTGAAGCTCACAGGGATCATTTGATCACAAGATTAATTACTACAGTTTCAGTAAATTCTCTGCAATTTTTTATCAAATAATTTAAATCCCATAAAACCCTGCAAGATTCATATATCCTTAACAGGTACAGCATTGTTTAAAAACAGTGGATATAAAATGCTCTTGCATGGTGGGGAGAACACAAATGACGGGGAGGATTCGGATGCACTAGATTCACAGGATAAAAATGGACTTTTGCCAAAGCCTGGGCAGCATCAGGTTCCTGGTAATCTAAAGAATTATCGTAGACAGAATCCATTGAATCTGGAAGGAAGGGCATTATCTGCCTCAAATAGTTTTGGTGAAAGTGCAAGGGCAGTTTCTGAGCCAACATGGCTATCTAGAGTTCAGCATCAGTAGGCAACAATGGAGCCTTCAAGTAAATTTTTTCTGTTTTCGTTCTATCAATGCTTTGGAGAGACATTATTCAATCAATTCGGGTGTTCTTTGGAGAGACATTATTCACCCAGATTAAAGTGTTCTTAATTATTCTTTTGAATGGGTGCCTAGAATTTGGGTGTCTAGAATTGTTCTTAATTTGGGTGAGTGTTGGCAAGAATTGTTATTAATTGGGGCAATGATGAGTTTTGGGAAGAATGTGAAATTTGGTGGGTTATTTGCATTTTTTAAAAAGTTTGGGCTATAGTTTGGTGGGTTCTTAATTTGTTTTATTTTAGTAAAAGGGTAAAATGGTCAAAAAGNTTTCTTTTGTGTTTGTTTTATTTTAGTAAAAGGGTAAAATGGTCAAAAAGAGATAAAAAGGACGTTTTGCACCAAAAATGTGAAAGGTAGGGACGTCCTGCACCAAAAAATGAAAGATAGGGACGTTTTGCACACAACCATGCATAGATGGGGACGTTTTGCGCCAATTACCCTTGAACAATTGTTACTTTTAATACTACTTTATTAAATCAAAAATGAAATTCAAAATTAGAAAAATTAGCAAAAGAAAATTCAAAAATTAAAATCTGAATACATTTGACGTCAATACCCTACCATTCTCGTGTTCTCAATATTTGAGTAGGTCAAAGTACATGCCCTATTCGATAAAAGTTAATGGAAGGTGTGATCGAAAAGTTGAGAATTCCATAAAATATGGTTGACATTAGTTGAACCAAATAGGGAAATGGATGTGAAATCAAAGAGTTTTTATCATTTTCAAAATAACGTTATTCAAGCAAACAAAGTCTTGTATAAGAAATGCATTACATTATTGTAAACATACAAGATGTTTCTCAATTGTACAAACATCTAGGAACTGTATCTTATTAACTTAAACCGCTGCTCGGTAATAACTAGTCTTTAGGCTAATTAGCAAGCTCGTGAAACTCGTACGTACCCTAAGGAATTTAAGTTGCATTAAAGTACTTTCTGCATTCACCCGCTTCAAATGTTAATAGCATCAGTAGGGAGAATTCTCAAACATTCACATGTTTGATGTACTGTATTGGACAGTACTGTACAAGAGACATTCTAATTTCAGTACGGTCCAATCCTGTATGACAGAGATCTAATCACAGAAACAGAAAATATATTGGAAAAGCTGGACAGTGAAAAGCACTGTGCATACATTATCATGCATAAATATTCACTTAAAATTGTTCGATAATAAGTGAAAGCTTAATTCTTCCAAGTTTAACATCCATAAAGACTGCAAGGCTGTCCAAGTATTTATAAAGCAATTTAAAGTGAAAAATATGCAGCCCCAAAATACTTGAGATAAACAGAAAGAACTAGGAAAGCCGACTGCCATATGTCCAGCGATGCAAAATATTCTACTTCCCAGCATATGCACCTGAAGTAAAATGGGATGAAGTTAAAAAAACATATAATACTGCTAAATTTCCGAGATAGAAAAGAATACAAGCTTTGACAGCAAACAAGGCTCTCTTTACTTTCTAATTTGGCCAACAAATCATAGACCCTGTTTGGCCCCTATAAAATTTTAATACATTTTTCTCTCTCCTCTTATCAACCATACATTCTCAATAAAATAATATTACACATAAATCCAAAAATTCTCCTTGTTAACCAGTCTTCAAAAAACACTATTCCAAAATCATTTTTTTTTTTTCAAATAATGGAGCTCAGCATATTATCTGGAGTACAGTACAAAAGGTTCAATCAAATATATAAATTTTATTCTTAAAGCCGAAAATGACACTCCCTATATTTGATGATTTTTGGTAACTATTTCAGATTTAACATCAAGTTTTCAATCGGTTCTAGCTTAACTTCAGATAATGGCACTTCTAATGATGGCAGAACTTAGATGATCAAATAAAAACAGGAATAACTACATACTTCAGAAGCATGCTATTACCTAAAAAGGAATGCCATGACTGTTCTTATCCGTAAACAAAGGTGTTATACACACACAATACCTACAAAAGACGGCTCTTTAAATAAGGCAAAATGTGCAAGTACAATTATTCCTGATGAAAAGAATATCCTGGTTAACCATAATAGGTAGTGTCCCAACCCCAAGGATTAACCAAATGCAGCAAAAAAATTGGCATGTTTAAAGTACACACCAATTTCTTCCCACTAAAAAATCATTAGTATACAGAAGATGCAAAGCCAAATTTCAAGGTGTAAGACAAGCCAAATACATTTTTCATTCATCAGGCAATAGAAGATTAATTTCTTGCTCTCTCAAAGGGATGTTTGTACAAACCAACATGCCATCCAAAATTCGACAAAAGGTAAAGCAGATCACGGTGTCAAGTTTTATGAACAGTAAAAAATATTGTAGTCTTAGTAATTACCTTTAGAAAGCAGACCACCCTCCGCTCTCTTCATTGTTCCAGGAACCTGATGATCCTTCGCCTTTATTGGATTCTTTAGTTTTCCAGCCATCGGTGGCTTCTGATTTGTCCTGATCAGCAAATGAGTTTTTAGCTCCAGGAGCAGTTTCCCAGGAGCTTCCTGCAGATTTACCCCATGAACTACTGACAGGTTGTTCAACTTTGTTAGATTCTTTAGATGAGCCCCCATCTGTAGCATCAGATTTCCATTTTCCAGTTGTGTTCTGGTTTCCTGAAGCAGATTCTTTTTTCCAACCAGCTGTATCCCTCTGACCAGATGGTTGCCCCCACCCAGTAGATACATCCCCAGCAGAAGCATTTGATGTTTTCCAGTCACTGCCTCCAGCACTGCTTTGGCCATAATCTATTTTAGCATCTGCTGAATTGTTCCATCCTCTAACAGCTTGAGTGTTACCCGCACCATCAGCATCCCCTTTTGATTGATTCCAACCTGAACTCCAACTTCCTCCTTGAAATGAACTGCCTCCAATGCTGCCACCTTTCCATCCTTCACTGTTATTGTTTGAACCTTTTTTCCAGTCGTACACCTTGTCATCACCAGAATCATTTCTGTTATTCCAATCACTACGCCCTCTGCCTCTAAAACCACCCCCCCTACCACGAAATCCTCCTTCCCTGTCAGGTCCATCTCTCCCTCCCAAGCCTCCTCAGCCCCTTCCTCTACGACCATGGCCGTGACCAAAAAGTGTATCACATTCATGAAAATGATACA